AGTTGACCAGTTCTATGAAGGCCTACAACACCTTCCAGAATGAACTCCAAAAAATGATGTCCTTACCATCATGCAGGACTGGAATGCCAAAAGATAACCAGAAGCCAAAAGATAACCGGAATAACAGGCAAGTTTGGTCTTGGAGTACAAAATGAAATAGGGGACAGGCTGGTAGAATTTTGTCAAGAGAATACGATGGTCATAGCAAACACTCTTTTCCAACAACCCAAGAGACGACTCTACACATGGTCATCAGCAGACGGTCAACACAGAAATCAAATTGACTATGTGCTCTGCAGCCAAAGATGGAGAAGCTTTATACAGTCAGTAAAAACTACACCAGGAGCCAACTGTGGCTCAGATCATGAGCTTCTTGTTGCAAAATTTAGGCTTAAATTGAAGAAAGTAGGGAAAAGCACTAGGCCACTCAGGTATGACCTAAATCATATCCCTGATGAATATACAGTAGAGGTGACAAATAGATTTAAGGAATTAGATCTGATAGACAGAGTGCCTGAAGAACTATGGACGGAGGTTCGCAACATTGTACAAGAAGTAGCAACTAAAACCATCCCAAAGAAAAAGAAATGCGAGAAAGCAAAATGGCTGTCTGAGGAAGCTTTACAAATAGCTGAAGAAAGAAGGGAAGAGAAAGGCAAGGGAGAAAAAGAAAGATATACCCAATTAAATGCAGAATTCCAGAGAATAGGTAGAAGAGCTAAGAATGCCTTCTTAAGTGAACAATGCAAAGAAATAGAAGAAAACAATAGAATAGGTAGGACCAGAGATCTCTTCAGGAAAATTGGAGATATGAAGGGAACGTTTCATGCAAAGATGGGCATGATAAAGGACCAAAATGGCAGGGACTTAACAGTGGCAGAAGAGATTAAGAAGAGGTGGCAAGATTACACAGAAAAACTATACAAGAAAGAGCTTAACGTCCCTGATAACCACAATGGGGTGGTCACTGACATCCTGGAATGTGAAGTCAGACATCCTGGAATGTGAAGTCAAATGGGCCTTAGGAAGTCTGAGCAACAACAAAGCTAGTGGAGGTGGCAGTATTCCAGCTGAGCTATTCAAAATCCTAAAAGACTTTGCAGTAGAAGTGCTACACTCAATATGCCAGCAAATTTGGGAAACTCAACAGTGGCCGCAGGATTGGAAAAGGTCAGTTTACATTTCGATCCCAAAGAAGGGCAATGCCAAGGAATGTTCAAACTACTGCACCATTGCACTCATTTCACACGCTAACAAAGTGATGCTCAAAATCCTACAAGCTAGGCTCCAGCAGTATGTGGACTGAGAACTACCAGAAGTACAGGCAGGATTTCGAAGAGGGAGAGGAGCTAGAGATCAAATTGCCAACATACGCTGGATCATGGAGAAAGCTAGGGAGTTCCAGAAAAACATCTACTTCTGCTTCATTGACTATGCTGATTGTGTGGATCACGACAAATTGTGGCAAATTCTTAAAGAGATGGGAGTACCTGACCATCTTGTCTCTTGAGAAATATATATGTGGGTCAAGAAGCAACAGTGAGAACTGGACACGGTACCACTGATTGGTTCAAAATTGAGAAAGGAGTTCGGCAAGGCTGTATACTGCTGCCCTGCCTATTTAACTTATATGCAGAGCACATCATGAGAAAGGTGGGGCTAGATGAATCACCAGTTGGAATTAAGATGGCTGGGAGAAATATCAACAACCTCAGATATGCAGATGATACCACTCTAATGGCAGAAAGTGAAGAGGAACTAAAGAGCCTCTTGATGCAGGTGAAGGAAGAGAGTGCAAAAGTTTGCTTGAAACTCAACATTAAGAAAACTAAGATCATGGCATCCGGTCCTCTCACTTCCTGGCAAATAGATGGGGAAGAAATGGAGGTAGTGACAGATTTTATTTTCCTGGGCTCCAAGATCTCCACAGACGGGGACTGCAGCCAAGAAATTAAGATGCGTGCTCCTGGGGAGGAAAGCTATGGCAAATCTAGACAGCATACTAAAAAGCAGAGACATCACCCTGCCAACAAAAGTGCGTATAGTCAGGGCTATGGTTTTCCCAGCTGCAATGTATGGCTGTGAAAGCTGGACCATAAGGAAGGCTGAGTGCTGAAGGATTGAGGCCTTTGAATTGTGGTGCTGGAGGAGACTCCTGCGAGTCCCTTGGACTGCAAGGCGATCAAACTGGTCAGTCCTAAAGTAGATCAACCCTGACTGCTCTTTAGAAGGTCTGATAGTGAAGATGAAACTCAAATACTTTGTGAACAATAGATGGCAAAAGAAGAAGGGGACAGCAGAGAATGAGGTGGCTAGATGGAATCACTGAAGCAGTTGGTGTGAGCTTGGGTGGACTCCGGGGGATAGTGGAAGACAGGAAGGCCTGGAGGAATGTTGTCCATGGGGTCGCGATGGGTCGGACACGACTTCACGAATAACAACAACACTCAGCTTGCGAGTTACAACAATTCCAAGATCCTTCACATTTGTGGTATTGTTGAGCCAAGTATTCCCCATCTTGTAATTGTGCATGTGGTTTCTTTTTCCTAGGTGCAGAATTTGGTATTTGTCCCAACTGAATTTCATTTGAAAGTCATCTGGCACTCCACCCATCCTCCATTATCCTCAAAGAGAAGAGACGATGGTCTGTGGGTTCTTCTGCCAGTTGCTTTATTACTCTAGGAGGCAACTCATCAGACCCTGGAGTTTTGATCTTATTAAAAAAAAGGTGGTCCTTGACAATTTCTTTGTTAAGATTCCATCTTGCCCTTTCAGTGTGTACTTCATTTCTGCTAGTGAGCCACAGTAGGAATTCAACCTTTTCACCTTTGTTATCTGTTACCAATTTGCCCTCTTCATTGAAAAGATGAACCACCATTTCTTTTCCATGTCTTTTATGGTGAACATACTTGTTTTTAGCATCCTCAGCTCACTCTCAGCTTTAGAAACAGAGAAATATAGAATCTGAGTGAGTCCAGCTGGCTCTGCTCATGACATGCCTACCATGTACACATCCAGCCTATCCTTAGACACCCACTTTAGCCTTCTTGAGCTCATTCCTGCACTTCTGTGCCACCTGCTTGTATTCTTTTCATGCCTGAACTTCCTCCCACTTCCTATATATATCCTTTTTAGTATTCAGGTCAGCTTGAAGTTTTTTGTGGAACTACATTGGTATCTTCTGGTGTTTTTTGGAATTGTGGCTTTAAAATTTCCTTTTGTATAAATTCCTACCCATCTTGAACTTCTTTTTTCTTTATGGTCACTTGTCACATGACCTTGCTTATAAGTTTCCTCAGTTTATTAAAATCAGCTTTCCCAAAATCCAGAGCACATGTATGGCTACACTCCATTTTTGCTTCCTTTGAAATCAATAATCCAAGCATGTTGTGGTCACTTTTCCCCAGAGTTGCCGTAACTTCTACTATACCCACTAAAACCATCCCTGTTAGTCAATATTAAGTTGAGGATAGCTGAACCTCTGGTTCCTACCTCCACTTTCTTAGAATAACATTATCCACCATGCATGTCAAGAATTTCTTGGACGTGCCACTTCTGGTAGAACTTGTCTCCCACAAATATCCAGGTAACTGAAGTTCTCCCATTACTACCAACATTAGAGTTGCTTGAAATTCTGACAGTTTGCTTAACAAAAGTATCCTCCTACTCCTCCTCTCCTTGGTTGTGTGGTTGGTAGCAGACTCTGTCCTGTTCTTTTTGTTCCCTGACACACATATTCTGACCCACATTCTCTAGATGGGGCTACCAGACTCATTTGCATATCTTAAATATTCTTATTTTTATATGGTGAGCCACATGGGAATTGTCTGAAGGGCATGGGAGACAACCATAAATGCATGAATACATATTGTGGTGAGGGTGGGATCTCTTTATGACTCCTCCACCAGTAGAGATCTGGGGAAATGGTCCGCATCAGCTTCCAGTAAGCCCTGGGCCTGAGGATGCCAATGGTCCATTACAACCTGTGCTACTGCCAGGCCTCCCTCCCTCTTTCTCTCTTTCTAGCTGGCAACAGCTCCTCTTTTACCCCAGTTGGTCCTACTGACAAAAGCAACTCCTGTGGCAGCAGGCTGGTAATGACTGCAGGGTCCAGTACTTCATCTGAAAACATTTCCCCCCTTTCCTTGAGTCACAGAAATTAAAACTAATCAGATGCTGTCTTTTCTGGGGGGTTTGTGACATCAGTGAGGGCACAAGAGTGGCACAAACATCATCACCATTGCTGTTCCCATTACTTCACTCCCCACAAAGCAGCATCTGATCAGTCCAGCCTGGCTACTCAAAATGTAATGAGGAAAATGTTTTCCAAAGGAGTAGTACAGACCCTGTAAGCTTTCCCAACTGGCTGCTAGGATACTTCCTTTTGCCAGTAAGGCTGGCTGGGTTAGGAAGGGGTTACTGCCAGACCAACTCTGGCAGAAGCGGTGGTAAGGCCAGGGCTGGGCTGGGCTAGCCTGAACTGAGTCCTTTTGATCTTTCAGGCTTCTAACCAGCTGCTCACCCATGTTTACCCCTGATGCTGGGTCTGATCAGGTGGGTCTACAGCCAGAACACTGGTGCAAAGGAGTCAGAAATCATCTCCCCAGCCCCTTTCAGAAGAGCACATTTGGCACGGCACACTTTGGTTCCTAACAGCAAGCCCAAGGACTTGGGAAGTTTTTTCTTCAGTGAACAGGACACAAGGGAGCCCTGAACCAGCATAGCCTGCTTGCCAGATTTTAATCACCCCATGAGCACTGTAGACAGGCTGACATGCCTCTGCTCCATTTGAAAAACACTAGTCAAAATTTCAGCCCTACTTTTTGAGTCTACTCAGCATCTTGCTATGGACATCTCAAATGGGCTAGCCAGTTATCCTTGGGATATTTACCAGCAAGACATGCTGGAAGCAGTCTCTTTCTTAGGCCACTAAGAAAGAGGCCAGAACCTCTGACAGAGCCTGATAAAACTTGCCTGTCTTAAAGTGATTCCCTCCTTACCTCCTTTCTGAGGGATGCCACATATTCCCAGCTGTTGGATTTGGGGTCGTATCTTTCCACTTCCCGCAGATCTTCACGGTAGTCTCGTCCTGCCACAGCATAGATGTACTCACTCACAACACAGACAGAGAGGTCTGCACGCTCTTGCTGGAGGGACTGTATCTGGAACCACTTGTTGTGTCGTGGGTCGTACCTTGCAAGGAAAGATGAGGATCAAACTGAACAGCATTCCTTGCAGACTTCCTAGCAAGTGGTTCCAAGCTCCCCTCCCCTGCCAGATCCTTCAGTGGTTTGCTGGCATTTCTCATTCCACTGAGTTGCCCTTCTCACTCTGGGAATGTGCAACAATGGCCTCCAGGGGATAGAAAGAGTGCCAGTCCCCATGGCGGCCCCCTGCTGCCTCCTTTGTTACTCTCCAGGGCTTCTGAAGATGGGACCACCAGCACTGCTTTGTGGAAAGATAGTGCAGCACCAGGGCACTTTCTCCCTTCTTGGATGCACACCTTAGCATGGTGAGAAGGTCCATGAGAAAAAGAATACTATGAGAAGAAAGGAAATTGAAAGCTTGGAAGGATACAAATTCTCTTCCAGCTGCAGAGATGGAATTGGTACAAATTCTAACAAGAATATGCCAACACATTTGGAAAACCAAACAGTGCCCACAGACTGGAAACATTCAATATATATTGGCTGCCCAGAAAGCATTATGCTAAATTTAATAAATAAGTATTCCAATTCCCCCTAAAGGGGATCAAAGGATTGCAGAAACCAGAGGACCCCAGCACTAATTTCCCACACAAGCAAAGTGATGCTCAAGATGTTGCAACAAAGAACATTGTCCTAAATGGAGCAAGAAATGGCTGATGTTCAAGCTGTTCCAAAAAGGAAGAGGCACTTGAAGCACGTATCACAAATAAATGTTGGCTACTGGACTGCATCGAAGAATTCAGAAGAAGTTCACCCTAGGATTTATAGCAGCCTTTCTCAACCTTTTTATCTTGGAGAAATCTCTGAACAATTTTCATGTCTCAGGGAACCCCTTCATAAAAGTAGGTTCTGAATTTAATGTAAATAAAGGTTGTAAAATTATATTAGTTATTATTTAACTAATAATCATTTTATTTTACAACATTAGAACATTAGAATTTATTGACAATGCTGAATAGTATGGGTTTCTGAAAATCATAAGGTAAATCAAAGCAAAATGAACAACAAGGGGTAAGAGTGTTATTTTTGAAACTAAAATAAAAAATGAAATTTACTTCTTTAATGTGAAATTTGTACTTTTTTTTTGCTGCACCCACACTTAATTTTGCATCAAACTTTTGGAATAAAGTTAGGAAAGGGTGATTTTGCAGCATATGTCTAATTTTGTGAACCACTCAGTCCAACCTATTCATATGCATTCAGAAGTATCACAAAATTAATTTTATTTGTATTATTATAGTATTATTACAGTTATTATTCTATTAGGGTTTATTAATGTGACATACCACCCTTCCCATAAGAATTGCTTTGCAGAATAAGAGGGGAAAGGCCCCTCTAGCCCAGCCTGATCTGCCTGTCAAAAGGTTGCTCCAGCGCTATGCAAAGCCAGCAGCCCCCTCCCCTTCTTTGTCCCAGCAGGGCCAAGATCCTCCATACTAATTTATTTCTGCCCACTTTGGATACGTGTGAAAACTAAACAATGAAGAAAGATGACAGGAAGAAAGCTGATGTATTGAAACATGATACTGGAGGAGAGCTTTGCATATACCCTTGACCCACACAAAGACAAACAAGTAGGTCCTAGATCAGATCAAGCCAAAGCTTTTCCTAGAAAAAATAACAAAATTAAGACTGTCATACTTCGGGCACATGAGAAAGCAAGACTCACTGGAGAAGACCATCATGCTAGACAAGCCATCTGATAGGGATGGTTTAATTTGAAGTCCTGCATTAAGCAGGGGGTTAGACATGATGGCCTTCTTGGCCCGTTCCAAATGTACTATTTTAGGATTCTTTCATATTTTAGTATCCACTGAAAAGAGTGTCTTCACCCCAAAATAAACTGTTTAACTGTTTTCCAAAATAGGGAAGTCTTTGTGCATTGATAGGTTTTCCTCCTCATATCCTAGCCAAAGATCCATCTTCTCTGACCTATAATGTTAAAGTCTCTGAAGCATTCCTCTGAGTGCTAACTCTGAGGGAAGTGTGGAGGGTGGTAACAAAGGGGAGGGCTTTCATAGTCATGGCCCACCCTTCTAAGGAATAATTTCCCAATGGGTGCCAAATCTCCCATCTTTCTGATGACAGCTCAAGATGGCCCTCTTTTCTGAGGCTTCTGAAGACTTACTCAGCCATCCAGGGCTTGAAGGGGCTCACTACATGTTTCACAGAGTGACTTTTGTTACTCCTTGTTATTCTCTGTTTTAATCAACTGTTTTTAGCTATTTAAAGAGCTTTGGCTGTGGGGTGGTATAGAAATGAATAGATGATGATGATGATGGTGATTAATATAGTTCATTCTTCATTGCTTTTAATAAACATCAGCCAAATTATCCCTCATTAACAGAAGCAAGGACTATGACAAACACAGAATTTACTCTAACAATCTAGAGGCATGCATAGCTTTACCACAGTGGAAAAACTATAAATGGAAAACCAGGCCAGTCTCTGCTCACTCAGTCTTTTTGGCCAGGTTGCTTCCCTCACTTTCTCAGGTACTTCAGTGTCACTCTGAGTTGCAAAAGTCAAGCTGAAGTTTTTTTCCAGAGCTCAAAATACTGCCTATTCTTATGGACTACATTTTTGAGTTGCAAAAGACTTAAGTATGTCTGCCTTCTCAGTCAGCCAGACTATGTTTGATTTTTTAAAATGTTTCCTGTAGGGGGGACCAAGGCTTCTGAATTGTTCCTACTTAGTGGTCATGAGTTGTCAAGAAAGCAGTTGCCTGATTAGCAGCACAATGCAATGCATGTTCACACAGAAGTATGACCGCAGTGTATTCCATGGTCCCAGTGAACACAAACACATCCTCATGAATTAAAAGGATATTAAAAGGGGTTCCTCTTACCTCCAGCATCTCGATTCTGCCCGAAAGCCTCGTACGTTGTTATCTCCCCCTATTAAGTATACAAAATTATTGAGAACAGCTATTCCCTGGTTAGACATTCTGGGAGACGAAGATGCGGTGAAGGGCCTCCACTCTCCCAACAAAGGATTCAAGTACCTGGCCTGGTTGCTGAGAGCTATGGAAGGAGTTGAATGCATCCCCCCAAACCCCACCACGCAATGAAACTCTGACCGCACTTGTGTGTGCCTACTCTGAAGCACAGGCTGGAGGCACTCATTCTTGTGGTACATTAGTGCACTGGCCACTGTCTCCTTTAGGGGACATGAACTCAGCCTATCATGGAGTCTTTGCAGAGTCTGAAGCTCCATCAAAGGGAAACGGACAGTCTCCAGCAGCTTTGGAGGCTCCATCAAAGAGACCTGATCCATTTCTACTTGTTCTGGTGTATAATGGTAAAACAGGGCTGCTTCGTAGACCTCATTCTCAGATATGACCTCTAAGAAATTGCTATTGAGGAGGGCATAAGTCTTTTCCAAGGGAAGCTGACGGTACACTTCAGTCTTTGAAAAAGTGAGAAAGTTCTTCAAAATGAAGGAGTCCAGTTCCACACTCAAGTGGCTGAGGTCAAAGAGATCAGCGAGTCTGTACATATCCAAGATGTTCTCCTCATCCACCCAGGACATAAGGAATTCACAGCAGAATTTGATGACCTCAGGGATCTGTGAAGGCGAAAGCAGGTGCAAAGACATAAAGTATTAGAGGAATTGATCAACTTTCAAGATGACTGCAAGCTACTCCAAGACTGCAGAAAAATGTTTCAAAATACACATGCAATTGCCTAATTTCCATAGCCACATTCTGCTATGAAAATACAATGTCATCATAGTGTAAATGGCATTCACAGCATTACTAAAATGAAGGTATCTACCAATCAGTACTCATTTCACTCATGCATCTTATGTATATCAAAAGGGCCCTGAAGCTGGATCAGACCAAAGTGAGTCCATCTAGTTCAGCCTTTTGTTTCTACGTTGGCCAATCAGCTGCTTATTGGAAGCCCAAAAGCAGGACATGAATGCAACAAACCCCTACCACTCGTGTCCTTCAGCAAGTGGAATACTAACAGCTCTTGCTTCTTCGAAATTTTGGGTTGTCAGTTTCTCTGATAGGCACATGTGCAAAGACACAGATATGATAGGACTGTTACTGTTCAGTGCTTATGTTATGCTGGATTTGGCCTAAGCAAGACAGAGGAGACAGTAAAAACTGAAGGATAATATAGCAGAGTAGGAAAAAACTGATGCTTGGAAAAGTAGATTAATTTCAATTTAATATTTTTCCTGCACAGTAGCCATCACACCTTGCTTTGGACATGGGGCGTTTTGTTTTTGTGTACTACATAGAAAAGGCATGCTGAATAAGACCCAAAGTCCATCTAATCCAGCACTCTGTACACAGTGGCAAACCAGCTGCCCACAGGGTCCCTCAAACAGGACGGGTGCAAGACCTCCTCTTGCCCAAGCTCCTCAGCAACCTCTGGTGAAGGAGAGAGCACATAGCTAGCAAGGCTAGTAGCCACTGGCAGCCTCCTCCATCATGAATATCTACATGACATATTTTAAAGCCATCCAGATTGGCAGCTATCATCACTTCCCCTGGCAGGGAATTCCATAATTTAACTATATGCTTCCTAAACCTCCTCTCAGTCAGCCTTAAGGGATGATTTGAATGTTGTTAGGAGAAAAATGTCTCCCTCTCTACTTTCTCCACACCATTTGTTATTTTATATACCTCTGTCACATCTCCCCTTACTTGCCTTTTTTCAAAGCTGAACTGTCCCAGTTGTTATAGCACTGTAAACTTGTATCCTTGTATCTTTTATTTACTTGCACATTAGCATTGTAATTTCAACACTACACAGTAAAGATTTTTATATAAATTCTGGATAGATTGGTAACCACTCTCATAGACAGAAAATAGGATTTTGTTATCTACCATGTAGATGTCTGTACAGACACTTGAGAAAATGTCAGGAGATGTCAGTAGTATGAAATCTAAAATGCTGATCTTTAGTAAAAAGAAACAACATAAATTGTTTATAGAGTCTAAGGAAACAAAGCAAGTGGATTTATGTATCTAGTTGGGTATAGATTTTCCTTCCAGGAGATCCTGATCATCACAAAGAAAATGAGTTATAAGCAAGAGTATGTGCTTTGCTCTTGATTAGCCTTCTCAATTATAGATAGCCTGAATCACGTCAAACAGTTATGAGTGTTCATATGGCCAAGGCGCTATCACTGTTAATCCCTGGTACAGAAATATGAGGCTTTGCCAAGAATGAGAAAATGGAAAAGGTTCAAAATCATGCTTTAGGTGCATGTAATAAATCAGAATCTGGACTGGAAAAAGGCTCCTGAATGCATGTATAAATGAACAGAATATGGAATCTAATGTTTCAAAATTATCATAAAATTATGTTTTTACAGCGGATGCCCTAAGTGATCCTAGTTGTAATGCAAGAAAGGTTTTTAAGCAAAGAATCCCTTGTATTAGAATATAAACAGACCTATATGCCTTGGAAAATACAAGGTATATGCAATGTTTAGCAAGGACAACAACCCAATTTCAGGAAAAAATGTGTGTGTGTGTGTTTTAATGAAAGTAGTCACTGTAAGCTCTTTACCAAATATTGATTCACCACAGAAGATCCAGAGGTATTCCAGTGCAAGACTGATTAAGTATATGTGGTGCATCTGGTATGCCAGTTATATTCCAGCTGTGGAGAACATGACCTATTTCTATTTCTAGGACACATGAGAAATTGGGCATCAAAATCAATTTCATTTTTTCCTCAAAGGATCTGATCTGTTTGTGATTCTGAGGGCTGCCCTGTTCACAGTGAAGGTATTCACTTTTACAGAAAAGGTAATGGAAAATTGTCTAATTAAATGAGCCACTTTAATAGCTGCAAACAAGACAAACTTTAAAAGGATTTATAAATTTTAATGTATATTTAAAATTTTTATGTTAGTGTATGTCATAAGATATAATTTTTTGCTTCTACTTTGTGCTCACAGTATACATGTTTGTTTTCTGTAGGCTAATTCAATATTTTTGATAAATTAGGTAGCAGTATGAAGGAAAAATACATCTTCTTATTCTATGTATGCCTATTATGTTCCCCCACTTATTCCTATCATTTTTCTAAGACCCAAATATTGTAAAGTTTCCTCATAAAGGAGTTGATCCAGGCCCTTCATCATTTTGGTTGTGACTCTTCTGCACTTTTTGTAGGTTTACAATGTCCCATTTGAAGTCTAGTGACCAGTATGCCATGTGTAGCTGCAACACAGATTTGCATAAAGGTATTGTAATATTGACAGTTTTAATTCTGATTACTTTAAATGACAAAAATTTAAATTTAAATTAAAAAATATTATTTTCACAGCAGTTGTATACAGTGTTGATGCTTTAGCCAGCTATCTACTATAGCCCCAAGACCACTTTCATGCAAACTGGAAATATGCATTCCATGAGGAACAGATGTGTGGAAGGCAGGGAAATCCACTAGCCCTGGGACATTAGCATGGGAGAGGGAGTGCAGATCAGTCTAAGCTGAAAATAGCTAATATGGTCAAGAACTGCCTATATCAGCTTTCTTCTTGTAGTCTTGCCAGCATATTGCTAACGTGCATCCTACCACCCTACTGGAAGTCCTAAAAGTGGATTATAAATACTTTCTCTAATAGCTAAAATACCTATGGAAAGGAATTTTTGGCATGTTTCTTTTGATACTGCCAACTCTCACCTGAAGTTGGCAGGCTGCTGTTAGTATTTCCTGCACGTTGTTTAGGCCAAGTTCCAGTTCAGAAGTATATATGAAATTTAGGATTTTACACATAGCATTATAAGATACCCCCTGAATATGGACTTCTTCCTGTTCCATTTCTTTTAGTCCACCAGCAAACATTCCCCTAGAAAAGGAAAGGGAAAGAGTTGCTTTCAGTGAGTATTCCAGAAAGGAAATGTTATATGACTATGTGATTCAAAGTGATTATGGAGAACATCCAGTGACAAGCGGGGTCCCCCAGGCCTGTCCTGGGGCTGATCCTGTTCAATCATTTCATCGACAACATGGAAGAAGGGGTGAACAGACTGCTGATCAAATTCGCAGATGGGGCAGTGGCCACAACTGAGGAGAATGGCACTCCAGATCCAAAAGGATCTGGACAGACTATGGAAGTGGGCAGGAGACAACAAGATGGTGTTCAATGTGGATAAGTGCAAGGTCTTGCACTTCGGGCACAGGAAAGGGTGTCATAAGTACAGGTTAGGGGACAAGTGGCTGGAGAGCAGCAGAAGTCAAAGGGATTTCGGGGTACTGGTTGACTGCAGGCTAAACATGAGCCAGCAGTGTGACGCAGTGGTCAAGAGGGCGAATGCCACTCTTGGTTGCATAGCCAGGAGCGTGGCTTCTAGAGCAAGAGAGGTATTACTGCCAATCTATATGACTCTGGTGTGCCTGCAACTGGAAAAATAATCAGTTTTGGGCCCCTCATTACAGGAAGGATATAGCCAGGTTAGAGTCAATGCAGCATAGGGCCACAAGGATGGTGGCCAGATTGCAGGGGAAGCCATATGAGGCGAGACTGAGGGAACTGGGCCTTTTCAGCCTGGAGGAGACTCCGAGGGAATGTGTTGGCAACATATAGGTATGTGAGGGGTGCCACATGGAGGTGGGTAAAGACCTGTTCTCTCCTGCAAGAGGAGGGCAGGACGTGCTCCAATGGAGCAAAGCTCAAGGAACCAAGCTTCAATTTGGATGCCAGGAAGTACTTCCTGACAGTTAGGACTCCAAGGGTATGGAATGGGCTTCCACAGGAGGTGGTTAAGGCCACATCGGTGTGGGTGTTTAAGGATAGGCTAGACATGCACATGGTGGGCATGTCGTGAGTGGAGCCGGCTGGAGCCAGGGGTCAGACTAGATGGCCTGGGAGACCCCTTCTGACCCACTTTGTTTCTAATATCTTACATGGGACAATTCCTGTGTGCTGCCCTCTATTCTCCAAGAACCATATTAACCATATGCAGAGATAATCCATTTGAGTTTCACAGCAACCAGCCAAGAAGTGGCTGGGCTGAAACAGCTACTAGCTTGATGGCATCCACTGAAATTTCTGGGTAAGTGGGGACTTGAATGTTTAGAAGTGATCCATTAGATCCATGTGGTTGTTTGGGACATGGGCACAGGGAATGGCACATTGCAGCTTCGTTCCAGCTGCTGGGGTAAGAACAATGAAGTCCATTTCAACTGAGGTCAAGATTCCAGCCCACCATTACAAGGCACTTCAACCACTGCTGTACTCTGACACAGCTCATACGTCATTAACATAGAGGCATCCTATGCAAACTAACTCATGATTGGCACATGACTGTGTATCAGCTGTTGATATTGCCATGTTGGTTGCCCTTCTTTCCACAAGGGATTATTTTTATATCAACTTCTTTGTTGATATACAACTGTGAACACATCACATCAATGTAGTAATGTTTAAGAACAACCATCAGATAGGCCTGCAAGCCTCCATTAAGCATACAGAACTTGCTGCAGATGGTAAATTCTAACTGTAGTTTTGAGCTGATGCTCAAATGTTTACCTTCCAGAGATACTGAGATTTGATAAATGAACTACAATTAATTTGAAATTTAACAATAAAATGTATGAATTTCACAACTTGCCAGTTTGGAAACTCCAATAGGAAAACAGAGAATTTCAAATTCTCTGTTTTAAACACAACCATACTTTAGCTCCACTCTAGGCAGACCTGAAGTAATCACATGATGCTGCCAGTAGGATACGATGTGCTTCAATTGGCTTCCCCTCTACAAGCAGGACAACATCAAAGAGGATGGCACTGTCCCGGAGAGCGACTAATCCACTCAGCAAAGTCTGGGAGTGCTGCATGCTACGGTATGTGTTGCTGGAACACTCCTTGACCAAAGGCTTCAAAGAAGAATTCCATGACTGCACTGGCTCCTGGTCCTCAGCCATCTCTGGAGGACTCACTCTGGATTTTAGAGGACACTTGCACAACAGCCTGGGATTCCTATGGAAAAATTAGCAGAGGTGCAGTTGAGCATTCTGACTCAAATTTTGGTTGTTTTTAGAAGCTCCCTCACTTTTCATAGAATCATAGAATAGCAGAGTTGGAAGGGGCCATGAAGGCCACTGGGTGCAGCCCCTCGCTGTTGCAGGACACCAGTTTATACCATCCCACTCTGATGGCTGTCAAGTTTCTTTTTGAATGTCTCTAGTGTGGGGGACTCCACAACCTGTCTAGCTGATTCCACTGTCCTATTGCTCTGACAGTGAGGAAGCTTTTTCTGATGCCCACCTTGAATCTGGGTTGTCGCAACTTGATGGCACAATGCCTACCATTGCTTTAGGATCACAGTCAACATGGTGTGTGGCTGTAGTGGTCTGCTGTCAAGCCAGATTCACGGCCTTTGATTGAAACACTCCAGCCAGTTCCCTGTCGCCACCTGAAAGACTGTCACACATGGCCCTGATTCTGTTCCCTAGGAACAGGTGGTAGTGAGTCATGATGGCCTTGTACTTGGAGACTCAGAAGTCAGGCACTGAGGCCACATAGACCTGTCTCACCATACTGCCCAGGCATTGGCCCTCCTGCTCTGTTAGCACCAAGGTTCACATTGCATTAGGCCCTTTGCAGGTTCAACAATAGCTGAAATGGGCCACAGGTGCTGGAAGATGAACAGGATGTCTCTTTCCAGGATCTCATACATGCTTTCAAACCGCTTGAGGTGGCATGTGTGGCTGTAAGGACCTTCCAAGTCTGCTGGATCTCCTGCAGTAGTGTAGGCAGGAATGATATCACCAGTGAAACTGAGTCTTTCATGTGGGTGTTGTCAAAGATGAGGCTCATGACTCTTATCTTCCAGGCTACTGTGTCAAGAGACCAAGGGAATTCACCATTCGCAGCACCAATCTGGAGAATCCTCCCATCCCCTCCAAGGGAGGCAATGGATCCTGTGTGGCAATGACAGCACCAGATAAGGAGGTAGACAACACTGCATCTGGGTCAGACACGTAGTCCTTGGGATCCAACAGTGAAGAGGGCATTCTTGGTCTCAAGGTCGGTGGCATTAAAGATTGCCATCAATGTTTTCAGTGCTGGTACTGGTTGGTTGTGTCCACATATAGCTGCCAATTGGATGGATGTCCTTGACAGTTGCTGGATCTCTATCAAGATCAGTAAAAGGTAGGAAAAAGAACAAGAGGATCAGCTATCCTTGATTTAATGCTAACAGGGATGGCCTAGTGAACAAAATAGAGGCCATGAGAACTCTGGGAGATTCATTTGACCATGCAATACTTGAATTCTCAGTTCTAAAGGAGACAAAGGTTAACTGTAGCCAAACACATATCCTGGACTTCAAAAAAGCCAACTTTCAGAACAACGATAAGCAAGTTGCTGTGGCAACTCACTCCTAAGGGAAAAGGAGTCTAAGGGGGTGGGAAATCTTGAAAAAAAATTCTTCAAGCACAACTATGAACAATTCCATCAAGAAAAAAGTGAAGACGACTACAGAAGAAACCCATGTCACTCCACAAAAAATTAAAAGACAGCCTGAAAGAAAAAATGAACATATACAGGAGGTAGAAGCAGGGCCAGGCCACAAAGGAAGAGTATAAATAAATAGCAAGGAATTGCAGGGATGGTGTCAGGAAGGCTAAAGCAGGAAATGAACTGAGAATAGCAAGGGAGGCTAAGAACAAGAAAGTCTTCTTCAGATACATCCAGAACAAAAGACATGTGAAAGAGAAGGGTGTCCAGCCACTTAAATGGATGGCAGAGTGTTAACAAATGACAAGGAAAAGGCAGAGGTACTTAATTCCTACTTCACCTCATTCTTCTCCCACAAGGAAATCTACATCCAAGAGGAAGTACAAACTGAAAGTACAAATGGTCAAGGAATATCTAGATGGCATAAACATGTTCAAATCTCCAGGGCCCGATGCCCTCCATCCCAGAGTCATAGAAGAGCTAGCAGAGGAACTCTCAGAACCACTGGCTATAATCTTCAATAAATCTTGGAAAATAGGTGAAGTGCCAGATGACTGGAAAAGGGCTAACATCCCTATCTTCAAAAAGGGGGAAAAGATGAACCTGGGAACTATTGACCAGTTAGGCTGACATCAATCCCTGGAAAAATTCTAGAGAAAAATATTAAACAATCATTCTGCAAACATCTTGAAGAAAATACAGTGCTTAATACAAGCCAGCATGGATTTATCAAAAAAAAAAAATCCAGTCAAACTAATTTAATCTCATTTTTTGACTGGGTAACCTCCCAAAAAGACAAAGGGAACACTGTGGACATAATCTACCATGACTTTAGTGAAACTTTAGACACAGTGCCCCACAACATTCTGATAAAAACTAGCAAAAACTGGAGTAGATAGAAAAACTATTATGGGGATCCACAATTGGCTACTAAATTGGACACAAGGAGTGCTCATCAATGGAACCTTCTCAAATTGGATGGAGATAATTAGTGGAGAGCCACGGGGTTCAGTCCTGGGCCCAGTGCTCTTCAACATTATTAATGATTTAGATTAGGAAATTTGAGGAATGATAATTGAATTTGCAGACAATACAAAACTGGGTGGAATAGAAAACACCTTAGAAGAAACAAAGAAGATCCAGAGTCATCTTGGTCAACTTGAATGCAGGGCTGAAAGCAACAGAATGAGTTTCAATAAGGACAAGTGCCAAGTCCTCCACCTAGGAAAAAGAAATCAAAGGCATCCATACAAGATGGGGAATGCGTGGCTCAACAGAACTGAAAAAGACCTCGGAGCAATTGTGGACAACAGGCTAAACATGGGACAACAATGTGATGCAGCTGCCAAAAGTGCAAATACTACTGGGATGCATTAACAAAAGTATTACTTCCAAATCACAAAAATGATCAACATTTTGGAAACACTGCCATATGAGGAGAGTCTGAAAGCATGTTCTGCCTTGAAAAAAGAAGACTGAGTTGGGATGTGATATCCCTCTAGAAATATCTCAAAGGCTGTCACAAAGAGGCCAATGTCAGAGTGTAGGACATGGAATAATCAATTCAAGTTGCAACAACCCAGATTCAGGCTGGACATCAGGAAAAGCTTCCTCACTGTCAGAGCAATAGGGCAGTGGAACCAGCTGCCTGGAGAGGTGGTGTGCTCTCCCACACTGGAGACATACAAAAAGAAACTGGACACCTGAGTGGGATGGTGTAATCCGGTGTCCTGCAACAGCAGGGGGCTGCACCCGACCCCTTTCAACTCTGCTATTCTATGCCTAACCCCAGGTAGAATGACTGCAGCGCCAGCATCTAGAGAAATGCGAGCGGTCTAGGCTGCTCGGCGGACGGCAGCCTCCTCGATCCTCTGCACCGAAGGGAGCAGTTCCAGCGCACGAGCTGAAGGGCGCGCGGCGGCGGTGGCTCCCGGCTTGCGGGCCGCTGTCGACTAGCACCTCTTTACAGCCGCTCCCTTCAGCGGCAAAGCCGGGGCGGGCGGCGATAGGAGGCGGCTGCCCGTGAGGGAGCCCCGCTCCCCAAAAGGGAGGCTACGGCCTGCAGCTCCGCTGAGTCGCTAGGAGCGCGCCGAGGTTCGGGAGCTCCTCCGTCTTCACGAGCCGGCTCGGCCTCCTCGACTTCCCGAGCCACGCGTTCCGCAGCCTGACTTCGCAGAGGCACCGCCAGAGCCGCACCGCTGAGATCAGTGGATGCGGCAGCCGCTGGGCGTTCTTTCCTCGGCGAGGAGCCGGGGCCGCCCACAGAGGCCGCGGGGCGACGGGGCTGCCTGCGTCGGAAAGGGATGCCCCCGCCCCACCGGGGCCCCGGACAAGGAAGGCTGCAGGGCCTCGCTGAGTGGCGCGGGTGCCCCGAACAGAAAGGCAGAGGCGCCAGGCACTGCAGCCCGGGACGGAACAGCTGCCCCTGCATCTGCCAGCGCCTTGGCTGGAACCCGCCGGGGGAAAAGCTCTGTACGTATTCGGGGCGCTGGGACTCACCTGCCTTCTCAAGGTCTTCTTTCCGGCATCACCTATCTGCGATCATAGAGAGGGGGCTAGGCCTCGGATGGAACGGCCGCACGCCCAGACCGCGCTTTAAAGGGGCCGAGTCCCATGTTTCAGTGCCGTCCCGAGCGCGCGAGCGAGCTCCTCCGCCCGCCAGAGAAGCTGCGCCAGTGTGCGGGGAGGCCCCCGCCACTGCCCATCGTTGGGGTGCGAAGGCGACTGCCGCTTCCCGCGCTGCGGCTCGGCCGGGCTCCCCATTTCCCGGCATGCGCCAGAAGCAGCATCCGGAGCGCCCTTCCGAGCACTTCCTGTAAGCGGAAGGGCCGGCGATCGTGAGTCCTCGCGTCGGGAAGGAGGCTCGGCCGGCGTTGGTGTGCGGCGGGCCGAGAGTAGCGGCTGCAGCGGCGCGGCACGTCCCGTTAGGATGGAGGAGAACGACTGGCGCAGCGCCAACTTCAGGCAGAAGCTGGTCAGCCAGATGTGAGTAGGGCGCGGGCGCGCGCCTGGAAGGCGCTAGGCCGCAGCGGCGCGCTCGGCCGGCCTCTTCCTGCCTGCCGGCGGCGGCGGCGGCTTGCGCTTCTTGGCTCGCCTTTCAGCCGCCGCCACGTAGAGTAACGCGCCGGCTTTCGGATGGCCGTGCGACGGGGAAGAGCGACTTCCCCCGAGCCGTGTGCACCCGCCTCCTCTTCGGCGAGGCTTTCTGGGTCTCGTGATGGTGGCCCGCGGGCGCACGCGGGGTCCCGGGCCTAGTGCGGGAACGTCTAAACTCGGCGCCGGTGGGAAGCTTCCATCAGCGCGAGCGTCCGAGCGAGGGGTGGCGTCCTGGAATGGCCCGTGGAGTTGCCGGGGAGGGGTTGCCGTGGTTCGCTGTCGTGAAAAGCTCCGTGCCTGTCGCCCATCGTGCTCTAGGGCTCTAAGCTGCCTTCTGTGGTGCTGGCTTAGCGGTAGGAAGTGTTGTAGATCCCTCCTTTTTGCTAGCCTGGTTGCAGCGATGAGTGGAAACGGAGTGTTCCCAAAAGGCTGGGTGGGCTGCTTGTGGCGCTTCAATGCGCTGTGCTGTGGCGGTGAGTACAGGTGAGGAGGAATGACCCCCTCCCTTCTCCACTCTTGCATTATCCCAACTGCTCTTCTGCTGGTAACTCCCATAACTGGGTAAGCCGGTTCTGCCAAGTAACATCTTAGTGGACTCTTTCTCCGTATAGTCTTATCTTCTTCCTGTTAACTAGCTGGCCTTTATCCTGGCTGCAGCACCAGTGCCCCCTCAAGGTCCAGAGGAGCAAGCTGACTATAGGAGGATCACTGACCCTGAACTCACAAAGCATCTTGCCTTCCTAAGAAGGCAGGTCTTACCTACCAAATTCAAGCAATAAGAAATAACCTGAGTGGCATAGTTAAAGCTTTTACTTAACAAGGCAGGCTGTGAAAGACATGTAGAGACAGCAAGGAGCAAATGTAGTGCTCTTTATGGCACATCTTCCATGTGAGAAACACTTTCCACCCATTTGGGTCTTGCATGGAGTGTGGGAATTAGCTTTTAGCAAGTAGGCTGTCAGTTCCACAGTAAAACAACTAGGTAAATACTGGTTGCTGCCACTGGTTATGTGACAGACCTCCCCATGAATGTGGTGTAGGTTGGATCCTGGAGACCAAAGGAGAAATTGTCAAGCATTATCTGGAGCTGGAATTGGATATGGATGCCAATAGGTGTCTGAGGGAGAGAAGGTAGTGATGCTTCATCACGCGAGGATGGGAGAGGTAGCCTACCATGACTGAATATTTTTCACCCGTGATGGTTGCAGTGGAACTGTGTAGATGTAGGAACAGCTTGTTTCTGCTCTGTTCTGCAAGGCAAAGCTGCTCTTAAGCAGCACCTTTGGCCAGCACTGACAGTGGTAGGGATATAGTACCCTGTCTTTGCAATAGAGAGCTTGCATGCGTATTGCGAAATGCACTCGTCTCTTTACATGATACAGTTTAGAGAAGGCACAGCATTCAGATATGGCAAAAATGGCAAGGAAGCTGTTTGCTGCATTGCATTTCTACTCTTTGCTTGTTTCTGTGGGTTGCTCTTTTCCCCAGTCGCTGGAATGGAATAAAGGTTGCTATTGGATGTTTATGCCTAGAATCCCATTGTGAAGTCCCAGTTAAGGTTCTAAATGTGTGTTAACAAGATACCCAAGAAAACAAAATTATGTTAGAATTAACAGCAAAAAGAAAAGAAATACAAAATATTGAATTAGAACAAGTTCAAAGAAATCTAATTTACTTGAAAAGGGAATATTAGGAAAATAGTAATAAAAATTCTAAAATGCTGGCCAGAGCCACACAAGCCAAAAAAGCAACCAAAAAAAAAAAAAAATTGGAGTAATAAAGAATGAAAAGGGGGAAAGATGTAACAAGATGAAAGAAAAACTTTTAATTTTTCAAAGATTTTTTAAAAAGCTATATAAGGGATACGAAATAGATTTGAAAGAAAGCTATTATCTAAGAAGAGAATAAGGAAACCATGGAAACTTGAATAGAAGAAGAAGAGATATTGGAAGTGATTAATAAACTGAAAATAGGTA